ACTGTCCATTTGCAATGTAATATTTTTTTCTGTTATCAGATCAAAGTTCGGGAGAAGTACATTTAAAAGAAAAGACACAGAGTAAAGAAAGCTTTCCTGGTTAGAATTTTGGTCAATGAAATATAAAGATTATCATTTACAGCAGGTGGCAGCTATGTAAAAAAATGAGGGTGTCAGTGTAAAAAGAATAAAAGACAATATTTTCACAGGCTTTCCCCAATGGCTTTAAAATAAGGTCACTTTGATACTGCAGGAAAGAGTTTGGAATCAGCCTCCTGCTCCACAGTTTGGCACACTGGGCTTGGCCATTAATATAAAATTAAAGAGACTGTCTCTTTTTTTATTACAGAATCCCCCCCCCCCCACTTTTGAAACAATGGCATTTGATACATTTACCTGCACATTTACCAGTTTGTCTGTAATTCTCCCCCTCCCACCCCTCAACCCCCCAGAATACACAAGTCTTTCCATATGCAATCACATTCCATGCAGTTAAAGTGTACATTCTTGGAAAATGACACCAGAAGCCCTATAAAAGAGTAAACCCTATAAAAGAGTAAATCAACACTGAATTGTTACTTACTGGTAACATAGCTATGCATCTAATTTGAAGTCATTGTCAAAGCCTGTCATATATATTAAAAGCTCTCATTGTTATTTAAGGAAAAAATAAAAAAGGAAAATAAATATTTCTTATGCTTTTTTCTCCTCAAGAATAAGTATACCAGCAAACTTCACCCAGAGAATTCTGCTCCTTTTTGTCTTAAAGGGAACCCATTTCTCAAGTGAATTGCCTTCCCTACCTTATTACTTGAAGAGATTACAGTCAGGGTTGTATATTGTAGCTACCCTATATTTAGAAGCTGGGTAATAAACCACATAAATAGCACACTGAATAAAACATTAAGACATAAAAGGAGTTAAATAGAACCAAGGGCTAAAGCTTATTGTGCAGTAACCATGTCTGACCCATGGAAATACAAAGGACTTATAATTCTAGTTAGCAAAATGCAGAGTTGGGATTTAAATCAGGAGGAAGCCGGTGGTGGCTGAGTGCTGGAGCCCCTTGCACAGCCTTGCAGGGCCCTCTGGTGGAAATGGGAATCCATCTCATGGCTGCCCAGCAGCACTGCCAGGAAAAACAATGCTCCAGCCCCAAAATAAGGGGAGAACAAGCAGCACGGGTTCTCCTTGTTTTCTTGAAAGCAGCAATGTTTCTGATATAATGCTGCATTTTTCAGCTCTCCTTTAAGAAGATTAAATCCTGGAGCCTGTATAAGTACAGAATTTTTCTTCTGACTCCAGTGGGGACAGAGTCTGTCCATAAAGCCTAAAAGTAGGGAAAAATGTCCTTAAGGTTGTGAAAAATTGAAATTGATGTGGAATATTCTGCCCAAAAATTTAGATCCTTCAGCAAAGCTGGAGGCATTTCAGGTGACCATCATCACATAAAACAGTCACAAAAAAGCCAAGATAGACCAGAATTCAAGGCAGAAACTGCTCAGCTGGCTGTGCCAGCTCAGGGTCTGCAGGGCCAGCCCTCACATGAGCTGACCTGACAAAATGTCTTTTCAATGCTTCTTCATTTGTGACTTAGAGCAGTGAGGTAGAAACAAATTTTTTCCTGTTACTAAATGTGTGTTGCTTCATCCAGCACAGCATGGAATTGATCATTATATTGGTATTAGGTACTCAAGAGCCTGAAATATTGCCCAGTTTTTAAAGAAAAAGTAAAATTGGTGATGATGCTTCCCTTAGTTATTGTCAGACCAGAAAAGAAACCCTTCAGAAGGGAATTCACAGCAAAGTCAGATGAACATTCCCATGTTTCTCCTCTACACAGATACACAAGGAAGCTGCCAAAATAATCTGCACAAGCAGCATCTTCAATAATCTAATGGTGATGAGAAGGAAAATGTCTCATTTTTCTTTTTTTCTACCTTTTGCCTCTTGACTCGTTAGCCAGAGCAATTACAGTGTTCCAGTGGAAAACAAGCTGTGGCCTCCAAGCTGAGCCAAAAGATCCTCCAAGATCCAAACTGCTCCAAAGCAGCAGCAGGATTGGCTTGCAGGATTGAACAGTCTCTCCCCTGACACGTATTTGATGGTGGTGAATATTTCACAGAGCAAAAGAAAGAACCAGGTCTGTCTTACACTTCATTACAGTGAAGAGGCCTCCATTGTCAAAGGGATTTCTCAATGCCATTCTCTCCCAATTTCCAGGAGCAGGATGGCTTTTGGGTCCATAAGATCCAGTCTCTGTCCCTGCCTGAATAGGGCAGACAGCTGTCAAGTGTCATTTTCTCAGTATGATCTGGGTCAATAATTGTCTTTTCCCAGATTAGGCTCCTTAAAAACGACAGTATTTTGAAAAGGAAAAGTCAATTCCCGCTTTTCATCTTAAATTCTCTTGTCTGCTCTTAGTTAAAAGAGTTTCTTAGTTGTAGAGAGTACACATTTATTTGAAAGTGCTGATGATGTAAAGTAAATCACTTAAACACACTGACTGTCAGGAGCAGATACAACCTGTTCTTAAAAACCAGCTTCTCTCAAAGTACCCCAGGCTGGGCATCTCATGCCTCCCAGCTCAGCAGGTACCTGTCAGGTGAGAGGTGCTGGACCCAAAGCTTGGAGTCATCCCTCTAAGGTGCTTCAGGATGTTTTACTTTGAAAAATGTGAATGCTGCCTATTGACTGCAAAAATTTAATCTCAATTGCTATCCAAGAACATGCTAATTTGTATGAAATAAACGAGGCTAATTATTTGCTTTCCACAAAACAGGCTCTGCTAAAAGCTCTGAGTTATTTGCTTTCCTGATGAACAAGGCAGCACCTTGCTCACATAATAGATTCCATCAGAGGTTTGATTAACCATTGGAAGGTCAATCCATGTGTTGTGCCAAGCAGCAAAGATAAGATGAGGCTGAGAAACACAGGCAGAGAACAGACCCCTAAACCCTCTATATCCACTACGGTGCCAAGAGTCAGCTGTAGGGAGCTGGAGAATCAAAAATGGGATCACTGCTTCATCTACCACATGGCATCAAAGTGGGATGGTGGTCACTTCAGTGCACAAAGGAAGGAAACTCACATTCGGGGAAGAACAGGACACCACAGTCTAAAAAGGTGCATGAAGGCTCCAGCTTCAAGGGTGTCCATTTGAAAAACAGCTTCATAGTTGGACCAAGCTATTGATGAGGAGCAGAACCTTCTTTTAGCTCACCAGAGAAATCACAACACACAAACATGCTTAAAGTCAAGCAACTTGACTGTGTTTGTGATACCTCTTTGATATGGTGGAAAGAATTCCTGGTGTCAATTTAAGGTATGCTCTCAAGCATTCTGAAATTTTATGCAAAAAAATATTGTCCTGATTTACATAATGCTCAAGCCCACAACACAAGATTGCTGCTGCCTTATTACAGGTATTTCCCTTAGGTACACAGGCAAAGTGCATCTTGAAAGGACAAAAATAACATTTCTTCTGACAAGACTGCTCCCCAAATGACAAAAGCTGCAGAAAGCTCTTCTCCAGGTTTTTCTGCAGAGTCAGCTCTGAAATGCTCTGCTATTAACTGTGCATAGACCCCCTTCCTCATGGAAGTGATACAGCTCATTCCCAGAACAAAGCAGCAATAGGGGTCATCCTCCACCACTGCATTCTCTGGAATCACTCCTTAGGCTTTTCCTCACAATGCAGTTACTCTCCATAAACCGTGGCTGTATTTTATAGCAAACACGGGCGTTACACAGCCAGGGAAAGCAGAGCTGGTGGTGGGGGAAGGCAAGGAGGAGGTTTTGTAGCTCTCAGAGACACGTGCAGGTCAGTCAGTCCTGCTTGCCAGCTCTGAAGATATTTTGGTGGGCACAGGAGGAGCCTTCAGCTCCTACCTAGACAACCACTGGAAGCAGCCAGGGAAGAGATCAATAGTTTGTCTCTTCTGGAGGATGGAACCTCCACCAAACACATCCTCACTTCCCAGCCCTAGGGGAGTGGATGCTAACATTAGGACCCACTGAGTTTGGCTCAGAGCTAAGAATACTGCATATGGATTTGAGGACTAACACCTAATTTAAGAACAGCATTTGCAGAAATCCCCAGGAGAGCATGAAGCTGACTATGGTGCTGAGAACACAGACCCAATGTGGGGTTTGCAGGCAGACTTTTGGCCTCTCCTGAAATCAACACTGACGGGGTATTTTGTCACCTCACCTCTCTCTCTAGTGGGATCAAAGGTGGGACAATCTTAGCACAGCTACCCTGTTTTATGTAGGACTTGCACAGATACCTTCGCATTAGCACTGGTACATCTTTATCTCTTTCTGCTTTCAAGCTGATGTCTGCATGATCCTACCAGAGAAGTTACTACAAAAATCCAGTCTGGAAGTCAATCCAGCTTATTCTGAGCTTTTTCTGACATTTTTAACATGATAACATCGTGCCTGGTAGGTATTTCCCTACTACAACAGTACATCCTCTTAAATGCAAGATCCTTGTTTTCCTCACTATGCCAGTTAGGAAAGGGAGAGTATCACAGGCTGATCTAAGTACAGGTCAGAATTTCTGTCAGTCAGTGAAAGAACTGGCTAACATGAGTCTGAGGGCTTCGATTTATTGCCCACCAGAGCAAATGATACCGCTGTAAAGTCAGTTGATAACAACAGGATTAAGAGGGTGAAGATAAAGATACATCTCAGAATGTCTTTGGATAAGGATAAAGCAAAATGACACAAACAAATCCCAAAGTCCTAGCAGTCATGAAGTCACTCCAAAACCCTCCTGGCAAGCTTCAGTACATAAATAACTAGAAAAAAAAGCCATGAAAATTTACAATAACTCTTTTTTTTCCTTGTTGGTGGTGTATTTTTAACCTATTGCACTGATTATAACGCGCTGTCAACAGCCTCATCAATTATCCATTGCTAGAAAGTGGGCTCTAACATGCTGCAAGTGGTATTAATTGGTCTCAGTAGCACATAATGAGTTTAAAAGCTCCTACCTGTGTGCCCCCGGGGATGGTGACTAGAGGCGGACAACAATTTACAGCAGACCATTAACACATAGACCAGAAAGAGCCAGTCAGACAGAAGCATTGATTTGGCACAGAATCTCATCCTGGAGGCAGAAAAGGAAGCAGTTGAGTGAAAGAACAATGCGAGTAGGGAATAACATAAAAATGATGTGGGGAAGGAGAAGCTGAAAGGACGCTGAAGAATAACTGATGTGGCTTATTGCAAGGCAACACTCACAAAATCATATTCATTATTTGGTTGGGATCAATTTTTTGTTAAGGACATTTTATAATTAGAAGCAATGTCTATCACACATCACATTACCCACAAGCACATGTTTATAATAACACATTATGAGTGCAATACAGTTCCATGAATCTGATATAAGGGATGGGTTCTTTTGTCTTTTATTAAGATCCAGCCACATTCAAATTTAAACATACATATTTATGAGTTGTGTTACTATTTTTAAACTGCACCTCCCCCAATGACAGGAAAAAAAAAATGTAATTTTTACTTAACACTTCTCAGGTCATATTTACTACAGCAATCAACTCTCCTGTAGCCATGCACAAGACTTGGCTGGGTCTCCCAAACACACAATATTTGGGAGATTTCCTGGAGATCAACCAGTTTGTTGAGGGTAAAACATGAAGCAGCACCTCAGTCATGCAAGGATTCACTTCTCTGCCAGGGTGTTGGAAACTGCATTTCAGAAAACATTTGCTCTAAAGAAGGTGTTGTTACTCTTATTCGTGTTATTCTTAGAACTAAGATCCCAAATCCTCCATAATTTTTCTACAAATATCTACAGTAAATCCCTCAATAGCTTATGTTATGCTATTCATCATATAGAAAGGGAATCTAATCATCTTTTTAAACTCAGTTATGATGATTTATTGCTTGCATGATACATAAATGGGTGTTATGTACTTGAACCCTTAGATACCATGTTCCACACTTTCAGCAAATTCTGCAAGCAGGAATGCATCAAATTAATTAAAGGCAATTTATAGATTTGCATAAATTGAACCAAATAGTGTTTTCATGGCAGTGACGTTAGTCTGCAGTTAATCAGCATGCTGGGATTTGTGCAAGCCTATCACAGTGTATTTGCACCAAAAGATCCTTTGGGAAACTACTTTGCTTTCCCTCTGCAGACTCCAGTTCTGAGTCTTCCAAGTATTTTTTAAAAAAATTATCTGTATATAGTGAAAATACCTAAGACTATTCAGCTAATCCAATGTTCCAGTGCTGAAGAGACAAGTTCATAAAAAGAAATCTCGTCTTAGACATGTCACAAGCAGGTAGGTGACACACTTGGATGTTATTTAAATTTGATAAACATCTACCAATGAAACCCAAACAGAGGCCATGTTTTCTCATTTAAAATTGTTTGCACGATTTCCCATTTCACACTTTGCAGAACAATACTTTTTTTCTAATTCTAAGTGTTGATAAAGCCCAAACAAATAAAAAATGCACTTATTAATATCAAAAGTGAAGAGACTAGAAGCCTGCTGCATGTAAATATATTTCAGCAACAAATACTTGTTTACACTTCAGAAAGAAATACATTGATGCAAATCCCAGCACTTTTGCCTACATTTTTTTTTTTTAAATTACATAAGTATCACATGAAAAAACAGCTCACCATATCTACAGATTTCAGACAATGAAAATTATGTGGAAAGAAGCCACACCCAAAGCATTGATTTTGCAAAATGGTACCTTTTCTTGCTTCAGAAAGATGCTCTGTCTTGAGCCCAATATGTTGCTACCCTGAACACAGGAACAAACACCCTAATAGCCTTTTACAGCTGTACATGGGAGACTTCTGGGAGCATGAATCAAGCCCAGAAGATGAAGACATCACTGTTCTTTACCTACCCTCTAAGTACCCTCTTCTGGAGCACTCCCAGACTAATTCAGAGCATCTGAACCTAATTCACCTCTTGCATCCAGCTGAACCACATAATGTCACTGCAGCTAATGGAATTGAGTCACTGTGAAACCAGCATGAATGTCACTATTGCTGTTGATCCAGTATTAGCCTAAGAAAACTGCCTGGTAAATTCTTTGTAAATCAGTGTACCATTTCAGATTTTGGTCATCCAAATCTTTCCCGGGTGACTAAATTTTTCTTTTTAGGAGACAGCTGAGTTTAACCCTAGTTTTCTTGGCCTCTCCATGAGAAGCACACAGGTTACAGGTTACAGCTCATGCACCATCACTGAACTGGATGTCATCATCTGCTCAACTTCCAACCCCATCCTTCTGTTGCTGTAAATGCAAACCCTCAGATCTGATCCAAGTGTCAGTGGATACCCCATCTCTGGTGTCACTCTGATCTATTGCCATGAAGACAGAAACCTTCCTCCAGGTTTCCTGGATTTAACCCGTGGAATTAAATTGCAGGCATTCTGAGCATGCCATTTCTGGTGGGAGCTGGTGGAAGGGACAGATGTGATGATGGACAGGTCCTACATCATGCATCATAAGCTCAGCAGCTGCTGTTTCAGTGGACCCAGGTGTTCCCACCATTCCCAGTGCAGCAGCAAAACTGGTCTCAGTGGAAATGGCCACGTACTGACCTATTTTCAAAAGTTTTCCCCAGTTGAGTTTGACTCTTTTGAGACATTAAACAAGGAATGTGGAACTAGGGCTCATCAGGTTGACAGGGTAACCTTACCCCTGTGTAAAATGTTCAAGTCCAGGAATAAGTGTATCACTACATAGCATCCATTTGGTCATATCCAAGCTGAAAGGCTGCTAAAAGCATCCAGTACAATTTAAATGACACATCTGCAGACTTGTCTGCCTTGCAGGTAGACAGGATGCAAGCTTTCAGCCTGCTAAAGTAAAGAAATGCAAGAGGATCTTTGAAAAGGCAGAGAAAAAATGAAATTTGGCAGACAGATGCAGCAAGGGGTGCTGAGCCCTTCAGTGTCAGTGGGCTGCTGCTTTCAGAAATGTCAAGCCCTCATTCTCTATTGGATTCAAGTGGATATTGTTGCTAACCAGAAAAGAGAATCTTCAGTGTCATTTGTAAGATAGAAAGTGCTCTTACCTTGGGGACTTTGCAAGAATTTTGTTCCAGTCAAACACAATTATTTCAGTGTGTTTTTCATAGTTATTCCAGATTCCCATTTGCAGCAGCAAATAAGCCTTTCTGCATCTCAGAATTTTTCCTTCACTTCGGGGACCTAGAAAGAAAGCCACATTACACTGCAATTAACGTCTGGAAAGGTGCTGTAAAACACATCTTTGTTACCAAAACCTTAGTTTCACAGTGCCATCTACAGTGCAGTCTGGGGCAAAAGGCAGCAGTTGTATTGCTCTTTTCTTTTTGAGAGCACAGAGGAGCTGTGGTGAGGCAGCTCTGAGGTGTCACTACATTCACCAAAGGCAGAGTTTGCTGTGCTAGGGGTTGCAAACAGAACGTGTGCAGCTCACTGGGGCCTCATCACCTCCTGCCCTCTCACCACCCAACTGCTGGGAAAGCTGTGAGGTCTGAGCAAACACATTTCCACGTGGTTCCATGAAGCCTCCAACAGTTTGAAGCAGAGATTATTCGGGATAGTGGGGAAAATCTGCCACTGTCTTCATAAAGATTTGGCCCATGCCCTGCAGCCTGCCCCAGCAGCAGAGGGTCACATCCACAGGATGTGTCTGGAATTGTGCATCCTTGCACCCTCTGACCCTGCTGCCTCTCCCTGCTTCCAGCATCCCCTCTCATACCCAGGAGTTACACTTGGAAATCTCCACATGGAAACACTTTTGCAGCAGCACTGACGCACCTTCTGCAGAATAAGGAGCTCAAACTCTCCATTTTATAGACATTCAGATCTCTTTGCCGTTTATATTTGTTCTCTCACTTCCATCCCTGGGCACAACTTGACCTTCTGCTATTGAAAACGTGACACAGAGCAATTTGTGAGAGTAATAATAATGTGGTCTTCACCTACACAACGATCACAGCAACCTTTTCTCATCCTATCCACCATTCTTTTCATTTCACTCTTCCTTTGACCAATTAGAAATTTGCTTTTAAGAAACACAAAATTACAGCACCATTGGAGGGCAGAGCATGTCTGGGATCATAAAAGCACATGGGCAGACACCTTTCAGCAGGTCAGGACAGGAAAGCCCCTGGCTCAGCACACTTATGCAATCACAGAACCTTCCAATCACAGATTGGAAAGGAACTTAAAACTCGTTCCAAACTATGGGCAAGGACATCTTCCACTGGAGCAGGCTGCTCGAAGCTCCATCCAACCTGGCCCTAACAGCTCCTTTTTGTTCAGAATGCCATGAGAAAACAGAGTAATTGTTGGAATTAAAGAGGAGCCAGGCCAGCAACCTATAATTAATCACATTTTACTCTCTTTGCTTTCCAAGGTGGAGTTCCAGGGTGAGCCAAAATCAGCAGCTCTATCAAATCAGCAGTGGAAATCAAAACAAAACGTAGGCAAAGAGTTGTCTTAAGAAAAAGCACTGCCATCCTGTATTAATCCTTTCTTCCACAAATGCACATAATATAAAAAATAAAAATAAAACAATAGTGTGCCTCAAAAGACCTATTAAGAAGAAGCAAACAAACAGGATTTTCAATATAGCATTGACTGACTAAAATGGTTATGTAGTACATTTTTACCCATTTCAACATAGGACAGGTAGATAAATATATTCTTACAGTGCTCTTGCAGAAATCAATACTGCAATACACTAACTTGGGTTTTAGTGCTTATCTGTTCCATAATTTTTATTAGAGAGGAAAATAAAACCCTGTGCAGATTCATCTACAGGTAAATACAAACATCAGTGTAACCTGCTCTGTAAACACATGTTAAACACTAGTAAAAGGCAAGGGAGTATTGATTAGTCCAACTCATTCTAATTAAGTGGATGCAGCAAAAGTGACAGATGATACATCCACCTGCATATCTCCAGGCTTTCTGATGCCTTCCAGGCAGTGATATTTCTTTTAAAAATAGAGTTGTGTTAGGGGAGATTAAGGCAAACTCCTGAAACCAGCTTCAGCTGGTTTATGTCAATAATGGAGACAGATCAGAACAGAAACAAGAGGCTCACCTGGTTAATAACTGTAAAAGGAATTCCAGGCTTTTCAAGGCAAAAGCATGCTTTGTGTGTGTGTTTTGTGAACAGTGGGTTTAACTGCTGGCCCCTGTCTTGTCTCAGGGTGACACATTACTTTGGAAAACAGAGCTGCTTGTTTATTTTTATACAAAGAGCTCTGGCCAGTGAGCAGCTGAACCCCACCTCCATCTCCAGCAAAGATACAGAAAAGAAGGAAGAGGGAACAGGAGAGGGGAAGGGTTCCATTTTCAGTATTTATGCATGGGCTGGCTGTGAGCAACTCCTGCTTTGCACAGGAGCTCCCCAGAGGCAAAACCACTCCCCTGGGCCAGGATTTAGGGCACATGAAGGTTGTGGGTTCTGGAGGGAATTGCAATGGTCAGGTCTGCTGCACCTCGGTCCCAGCACACTCTGCTCTCTGTTCCTCTGCACTTGAGTAAAATGGGTATAAACAGCATTTCCCTGTGCCAAGGAAGTGTTTCAAGAACAGAAACAATAAAGGTTTAAAGTTATTTGAAAACTCTATAGGCAGTGTATAATTCCTTTGACAGATGGAATAAGATAACATTTTAAATTAGGTGCATTTCCTACCAATATTTACATGTTGTAAAATGCTTTTTATGGCTACTTTCTGCAAAGAATAAATTACTAAACCATTTTGTACCATCTTTTATAATAAGCTATTAAATAATTTAGAAAACCTCCTTTCATTAAATATTTAAAAGGCCTTAATTTCTCCATTCTGAATAATTCCTCACTTAAAATACAACCGTGCATCTCTTAAAGACTCTTCTTCTGTAAAGCAAGGGGTGAGGACAGAAATTTGGGGGCCATGTACTGTTCAGGGGATTTGCCAGCCTGACTTTAACTCCACTGTCAGCCTGGCCAAACTTTTGTCTCATACTGAATAAAAGACAAAGGGAAAATAGAGCAATATATGACATTTCTTAGAAGAGGGGGGAAAAGATCTGATTAGGTCACTGTTGTATTTGAAAACTGCTGCTGTTTGAGGTGAACAAAAGAGACCAAAGAGAGAGTTAAAGCAAACACCTACACACTGGCTGACCAACTCAGAGCCCCATTTTGGGGCTAAATCACTGTAAACAGGATAAATATTCAGTGAGAGTATTCGAAGGGGCCATATAAAAAAAAGGAAGAGCAACTTTTTATACAGGCAGGTATTGACAGGACAAGGGAGAATGGTTTTAAATTTAAAAAGGATGGATTTATATTAGATGTTATATAAAGTTTTTTGCCTGTGAGAGTGAGGAGGCCCTGGCATAAGCTGCTCAGGGAGCTGTGGCTGCCCCTGGATCCCTGGAAGTGTCCAAGGCCAGGTTGGATGGGACTTGGAGTAACCTGGGATAGTGGAAGCTGTCCCTGACCACGACAGGGGTGACACAGGATGGGCTTTAAGGTCCTTTCCAGCCCAAACCACCCCTGGTTGTGATTCTGATGTTGCCCCGTGGCCTGGGGCAGTTCCAGGGCCGTGGGCAGGTGAGTGTCCCAGTCAGGACACAGGTGACCCATGTTTCTGTCGAGATACAGATCACTGTCTATATCAGGATACAGGTGGATTATGTCTCTGTGTCCCTATCACGATACAGGTGATGTTCCCCATGTCCCTGTCACGATAGAGGTGATGTCCCGATGTCCATACTGGAATACAGGTGATATCCTGATGTCCCTCTCGAGATACAGATGATGTCCCGATGTCCCTGTCTGTTGGGACACAGGTGACATCTCGATGTCCCTGTCGTGACATAAGTGATGTCCTGATGTCCCTGTCTATCGGGACACATATAGATGATGTCTCTATGTCCCTGTCGCGATACAGGTGATGTCCCGATGTCCCTGTCTGTCAGGACACATACAGGTGATGTCCCGTTGTCCCCGTCTATCGGGATACAGGTGATGTCCCGATGTCCCTGTCTGTCAGGACACATACAGGTGATGTCCCGATGTCCCCGTCTATCGGGATACAGGTGATGTCCCGATGTCCCTGTCTGTCAGGACACATACAGGTGATGTCCCGATGTCCCTGTCTACCGGGGTGATGTCTCTATGTCCCCGTCTATCGGGATACAGGTGATGTCCCGATGTCCCCGTCTATCGGGATATAGGTGATGTCCCGATGTCCCCGTCTATCGGGATATAGGTGATGTCCCGATGTCCCCATCTATCGGGACACAGGTGATGTCTCGATGTCCCTGTCTATCGGGGTGATGTCTCTATGTCCCCGTCTATCGGGATACAGGTGATGTCCCGATGTCGCTGTCGCGGTGCCGGGGCCGTTCCCGGCGCTTCCCGAGGATCCCTCGGGGCGGTGCTGCCCCCTGGCGGCCGCGCGCCTCTCTCCATGCGGATCCGGAGCGGTTCCCAGCTCCGGCAGCGCTCGGGAATCGCGCTCGGGAATCTCACCCGGGAATCTCACCCGGGAATCTCACCCGGGAATCTCCCGCTCCGTGCGCCCCGCGGAGCCCCCCGGCCCCAGGGAGCCCGGGCTGCCCTCTGGGCAGCAGCGCTCCCCTGTGCCGGCGCGGCTGTCCGCGACAATTAGCGCCTGTCATTAATGACATGAACGCGTCGCTGTCGCAGGGTCCGTGAGTTCAGCCTGCCCTCGGAGCGTGGGACGTGCTGGTCTTCACTTCACAGTGACCGCCGTGTCCTCCAGGTGCCCCATCGGATTCAGGGAATAACGCGTCTCACATTCCGGATTTGGTCCCTTAACCCTCGCCCAGAAATCTCTGCACCAGCTCACGTAGCTGCAGCTTGATCTGAAGGCTTTGAGTGTCAGTAAATCCACCTCGGCCGAGTTATTCCAACAGTTAATTAACCTCACCTTAAACACTGCACCTTCCAGCCTTTAGCTCCTGATGCATTCCTCTTCTTTTCCCAGCTGGCACATCCCACGGGGATGTGTCAGGTCTTTAAGGGCCTCAGTTCTGCCAATCCTTACACCAAGTAAGGGTTACACCAGGTAGGAAGGTACTGTGCAAACTGAGAGAGGACAGAATGTTACCCATGTAGTACAGACACAGAGTCACAGAACGGTTTGTGATGGATGGGACCTTGAAGCCCATCCTATTCCATCCCCTGTCA